GCGAGTTAGAAAGTTTCGCAAATCAAACATATGCATACAGACAAACATAACATGCAAATGTTTCTTTCTTGAAATATGAAAGTAACTGATCAAATCTTTATATGCCTCATAAAAATGGGTTGTTGTCTTGAATCCGTTGTAAGAATGATTCATTGATGCTCATCTCTGTAGAAAAAAATCGTAAGAAAACAGTCAATTTTGTGTATACCTTAAATTTATTTTATTGTTTTATGAAGGTATGTAGAAAGGAAAGGCTGTATGTGAGTATGCATGGCTTGTTGTAAGCTGGAGATTGAGTTTTAAAGACATCCTTGCTCTGACAATGTCAGTCAACTTATGGGTCAGATGGAAATCCAGCAGGTTTCTATCGTGGCTCAAAGTAGGTGTCCTCATGAACGTTCAGCAAAACCACATGACTTGAGACCGAGAGGAACCAGCAGTCGTCTTCTACGGAAATCGACACACGAATTTCTTCATTACACACTTTACTTGGAATTTAGGTCAAATTAGTATAGAAAATGAGGAGTGATAATGACACAAAATGTGGATGGGCTTAACCTCCTGAAGAACTGAATTGAAAACTGCAAATAAATTGAAATATTCATGGGACCATGGAAGAGAAAACAGCACTTTTCACATACTTCATAAAGCAGCAAAAGTCGGAGGAGAAATAGGATTCTTTGCTTTATAAACAACAACCGGTATCAGAAGTAAAATGGGGAAACGTTAAGAAGAACCAGCATAAAAATGCACGAATCACAAATGTTCGGCAGAAGCGTGAATGAGGACAGATAAAAAACAGCAAAATGCAAAATGTACGGATTGGATGAGGCGTTGACTAATTGGCGAAAACGATATTAATATTAAGGAAAACTGTGTTTAAAACAATTATTTAGCGAGTTATTGTTACATCACTTCTTATTTTAAAGGAACAGTTGATTGGAAGGAATTCGTGCAAAGATCTCACCCCAACTCGATGGAGGATTATGGCGGAGTGAAGACTGTTGGATTGCGCGATGAAGTGTTCGGCTCACTGTCCTGCAACCTTCATGAACATGCAAAACCTTTTTTCTTTTGGTTTAGTACATTTGGCACTATTTCTTATAAAATGGATTCTTGATAAGCTCAGTAGAGACAAGAGGCTCATCGGAGTTGGAGGATGGTGAACCGAGGACTTGTTCGCACAATGCGCCAGTCTTCACTTCGCGGCTCAGAACTGTCGAGGAGGCAGGGAAAGAGCAAGAAGACGGAATAGGCCCGTCGTTAAGGCGAACAAGTCAAGTAGCCGAGCCGTTGACGCTGTCATGGCTAAGGTTGCCTCTTCGTCTACAAACACGATCTCTGACGGTACGGTTGGAACGACCGTCGTATTCAAATTATGTACGGGGAAGGTAGAAAGTCAACCACCATTTTCAGCCCTCTTCACTGAAAAAACGACTAATTATAAATGAATGTATATATGTACGTATGCATGCATAGATGGATGGATGAATGGATGAATGGATGAATGGATGAATGGATGAATGGATGAATGGATGAATGGATGAA